TCTCTCTCTCTCTCTCTCTCTCTCTCTCTCTCTCTCTCTCTCTCTCTCTCTCTCTCTCTCTCTCTCTCTCTCTCTCTCTCTCTCTCTCTCTCTCTCTCTCTCTCTCTATCTCTATCTCTATCTCTATCTCTATCCCTATCTCTCTCCGTCGCTTCGTCGGTGTTTTGACTGGTCCCAGGCTGCCCCCTCTCTCCCGCTTCACAACCGGCTGGAAGCTGGATGAGTGGCAGAAGCGCGTGCTGAGGCAGGTTGACAAGAAGAACTCGGCCATCGTGTGCGCGCCGACGTCCTCCGGAAAGACCATCATCTCCACGTACGTGCCTAAAAGAACACACAACACAACGACGTGGCTTCTTTTCTTTTTTAATATACCTTAGCGCTGACGTGAACTGAAGACGAACCAAAACAAAATACAATTTAAGAAATACGACCCATTCGAGATGAAACCACAGTCGAAGGGGATGAGGTTTGAAGTCTTGACAGTGAGTGGGAGGAACCACGGCTTACTCTCGCGTTGTGGAATGTATTCTCTTTGCCCCTGTTGTGGTGCGTGTAGATGGGGAGTCTTTCAAGCTTCATTCTTGGACGATTTCCTTTGTCACTCCTCGCCGTCACGCAGCACCTCTTGTGCTCCGTCTCCTGCTGTTGTGTCGTGGTATGATTTGTTGCTTATTGTTTTACCAGTATGTTTTTGGTCGAGCCCCGCTGTCAGGGTAAGATTGACGTTTCTCATTTGCGTGCACACTTCCACGTGACCACGGGTATGTTCTGTTTTCCATCCCGTGATAATCGAAAAGAAATATCCAATGCCAGCGTGGTGACCATTCCATGCTCCATGAAAGAGCGCACCAAGTTAACCGCATGGGCTTGCGTTACGGGGAATGTCCAACCCTCCGTCCCCCTCGCAAGAAGACCACTCTCTGTATCCGCCGTTTTCTTGACGCCCCCTTTGTGTACGTAAAACTAATACTACCTTTATTTCACGTGATAGATATCACCTGAGTGTTCCCCGAACGTGCGCTTGTATTGCTCTCTGCCCATGACGTTGTAGGTACGTGACTGTGGCGGCGGGGGCGTCGGGAAAGATCCTGTTCGTGGTGCCCACGGAACCCCTCGTGTGGCAGGTGGCAGCGCTTTTCAACAAGCTTCTCCGAGGGCAGGTACGAGGCTTTTTTGGTAGCTGCTGAAACCTGCGATTTTTTTTTTTCGCCGATGAGTTAGTTGCTGGCTGTTCGCGTGGGCACGTAAGAGGGAGCCGATGAAACCGCTGGTGAAGCAAGGTGCCAACTCTTTTGCCGATGAGTTGCTGGGTTTTGGCTTGGGTCAGATGAGAGGGCGTCAAATGAAACTGCTGCTGAAGCTGCGGACTCTTTTGCCGACGAGTTGCTGGCTGTTGGCGTGTGGCGTTGCCGCTCTTGCTGCGTGCACCCCATTCCGCCGCCACAAGGCCGAAATTGTGCCATCTGATGATGGACCCATAGAAGCAAAACTGTGGCAACGAGCCGTTGTGAGGCATGGCAGGAACCGAAAGCGCGCCCAATTGTTTCGGGGGCGCCTCCGTCAGGGATAGGAGCTGTTCTCCTTCGTCCAAAAGGGTGCGTAAGAACGACCTGAAGCGACCAATAACTGCGTTACGGCCCCCATCATATTTTTCCGAACAGGTGGCGATCTGCATGGACCAGATCTATTACCGACCGGATATCGAGCTTCGGACTATCGTGGGCACCCCCATGGCGCTCGAGACGGCTTTGACGAAGCTCAGGGGGGCCGTGGGGGATGAGGTCGTGGGGAAGCTTGACTACACGCAAATGAAGGGGGGATTCGACTTCGACTACGCCGTGTACGACGAGGTGAGAGAGGCTTAACCCTAACGAGAGGTGAGATAGATTTATGTGTGTTCATGGGGGGTGAGATGGATTTGTCTGTGTGTACATGAGTGGAGGTGAGATAGGTTTACGTGCGTTCATGAGGGGTGAGATGGATTTGTCTGTGTGTACATGAGTGGAGGTGAGATAGATTTGTCTGTGTACCTCAGTAGGGGTGAGATAGATTTGTCTCTGTGTGTGGACCTCAGTAGAGGCGAGATGAATTTGTCTGTGTGTACATGAGTAGAGAGGAGATTGATTTGTGTGTATACCTCAGTAGAGTTGAGATAGATTTGTATGTGTCTTGTGTGTCCGTCAGGAGAGGTGAGATAGATTTGTCTGCGTGTACATGAGTGCAGGCGAGATGCATTTATTTGTCTGTGTGTAGATGTCCCTGTTGTATGGCGGGTGGTATGAATGGTATGCATTTGGAGAAAGCGGCGGGTGGAAGTTGGCTGGCATTCTCTCCCTCTTCCAGCCACCCAGCCTCATTGCGATGTTGAGCACATCATTACCCCATTGCATAGAGCTGGCTGCGCAAACAACAGGAGAGCATACCCACCCACTAGAAGCCAAGAGAGTTGAGCCCATCTGTTTGCCTTCGCAAATGTGGCTCGAGCATGACGTGATGCCCGCATAGGCTAGAATCGGTTTCTCTGGGTCAAAGGAAGTGTATATGTTAGCGTGCAAGCGGCACTGTTACCTGGTAGTGCGGCGTCTCATTTTCCAGCCCTGGTCTTGTTCGCTCTCGTCCTGTGTCACTGCTGCACTACGCCTCTCATGTTATTGGTGTGTGATCTTTCTTGTGTTTGGCTTTAGGTGCACTCGTTGGACAGCGAGGAGGGTGACGCTCTTCAGCGACTTATCCGCGCGGTGAACTGCAACTTCCTCGCCCTGTCCGCCACCATCGGAAACGCTCAGCAGGTATATACAGTACAGTAGAACAGTACATACGTGCAAACGTGTGCAGTCCGGCAGCGACCGGTTTTATTCAAGAGAGGGTCGGGACAAGAGTGAGGTTCGCTTTTTTTTCTTTTTCTTTTTTATCGAAATCAAATTTATTGCTGAAACATGAGCAAGTTCTGAACAATACAAGTTCCAGCCGGTAGTCCTTGTGTTGTTGTTTTTCTAGAAACAAATCAATCTCCCATCCACAGAAAGAAGGGTTCAGTATTAATAACGTCTTTTGTTGTCTACCCCCGGCGCTGTTTTATCCCCTCACCTAACCCGTGCCCGTTTTCTGATGTCCCTAATCTTGTATCGGCCCGGCTTGGCACAGCTCAAGGACTGGTGGACTGAGGTCCAGGGGGAGCAGGCCAGAGACCTAGAGGTGATCGAAGCGCCGGCGGGTGCGGGAGAGGGTCGAAGGGGCTTCGTGCCTCCGTCGGGGGAAGTGTACCTGGAGGAGCACAGCGGCAGGTGACCAAGGGACAAAATGATCATTATGGGTCGCCCCCAGCACTAACCAACCGTCTCTACGCAAGTACTGCTATATTCTACGTCTATTATGTATCTCGAGTGAATCTGATTTTTTTTTTTTACCTTTTCACTTCTAACAACAGTTCATCTCTTCAACAGAAAGAGGGTAGCAGAATTCACATTGCGTCAGCAGAAACGTCCCGTGTTTTTTTATCGGTGCTACTGCTGTAACAACAACGCCAGACACGCGGGGGGCGTTCGTGGGCTGTTCAGAAGCAAGTGTGCGTGTGGCAGCGTGCCAAAATCGGAGGCCTTGACTGAATGACAGTCTTTCCGGTCCTCTCTCTGCATCTACAAGTATACTTTGCACAGCAGAAGCGGTCCCTGTTTGGTGCCGGTATGTGCCCAGCAAATTCACCGGCACTATACCGGACCGACATTATTCAAAGTACTGACGATGACTTGGAAATTCAATGTGTGCCCACCGAAAACACCAGCACTATACCGGGCATTGGCACTATTCAACCGGCACTAAACAGGGACCCCATCTGTAGTATTGTACAGAACCAATATGTCCTTAAACTACCCATGGCCCAGGTCCATCATCAACCCAGGCCCTGATGGTAAACGTGTTTTGGAACCCATCGCGTATGTTCCCCACCGTGCTTGATCCTCGTTGTGCTTTGATGCTTGTCCCAGGTTCATCAACCTGCAGCGGTACGTGTGGATGGGTTCGACGTTCGTGAACCTCCACCCGTGTTCGGCCATGTCGGTGGAGCTGCTGCAGAGCGGCAGGACGGAGGAGGTTTCCCTTTCCTTCACCCCTCACGACACCTACAAGCTCTGGTGAGGACACACACAGAGAGAGAGAGGGGGGGGGGGGGGAGAGAGAGAGAGAGAGCGACACACACGAACAGGAAGGAGGGGTTGCGCTGATGATCGGGATGTGTCCTGTTGCCGCTTGACTGCCCTTGTGTTGTGCGTGCATCAGGGAGGCGTTCTTGGAGTTCTACCCGGAGGAAGCCGTAAAGGACCTTGAGCCAGCCGGCTTCTTCGCCAAGTACGAGACCAACCGCATCTCGCTGCAGCAGGCCAAGGACTACGAAGAGGTCCTCGTTAAGAGGTGAGAAAAACAGTATAGTCTGCGTTTTTTCTATGGTGCACGCCCCGGTTTTTGACATTTTAGCCTTTGATTTTCTCGTTTTTTTGTTGTGTGGTTTGGCTTTAGTGCGATGTGTGAGTTGGCGCTAACCACGCACAATGCATGGTAGTTTTTTTGCTTTTGATTTTCTCACTCTTTTGGTGGTGTACCGTTTTGGTGCAATGTGCAAGTTGACACGTACTACGTACGACAGTTTTTTTGCTGATGCTGGTGAGATACTTCGTGTTCTGTTGGTGCTGAGCTCTTTTGAGGACCCCTTTTTGTCCCGAAAATATGCATGCAAATCACAGAGAGAATACACTTCTGGTGGAGAAAATACGTTGTAGAGTACCCCATTCGAAGCGATGTATTGAAAAGCCGCTACTGCCGTGAGGTGTTGAAAATATCAAAATTTTACGTGTAAATTTTTTGCATGCCGTGTTCGCCCCTTGGCCACCCTCTCGTGCCCGCCGCTGCGCTGCGCCCGCAGGCTGGAAAAGCTGTCAACTGACAATCCCAAGGAGACCGGCGATCTGCTCCAGAGGTTTAACCCAGGAACCGTAAGTGGCTTTTCCTTCCACACCTTCATATTGTAGAAAAGGAGCATCGGAACAACTACGGGGCTCTGTCCCACACACCACGCGTGGTGATGGCTGGTATTCGGCAACACTGCGGCGTCTATACCGGTGGTGCCCCTGTTGTTGATTGTACAGAGCACAACCGAGGGAATAGAGCAACGTGTCTCACATCGATTTCTAGGGGCATAATGGGGGTAGGGGAGGGGGGGGGGGGGGGG